CTTAAAGGAATTTAAACAGGTAATTGCATATAAAGGGAAGGGACAAATTCTCAAGAACAATCTGAAATGGTAAAAGCCTAATTATCCCCAGCAGAGTCGCCATTTTGTCGCGCCCCCTTTTTCCCCTCCTCGCGTCGGGAGAATCGGGTTAATGACATTTTGGGGTATAAGATAACTCATTCCTTTTGGGAATTGGGTTTTGCACTTTCTGAAGAGTCGCCACCTAATGATTTATAGTGCATTAGGACACCTTCAAGGTTTATTTCTAAGTTTTGCTTGAAAACTAGAGATAGGGTAAGGGCTTGAAATTATCCTAAGGGGAAGGTGTTAGGCACCCCTCAAGATCCACTAGTGTGGTTCTCGGCCAGATTGTTCTTTGTGAATTTGGTTCAATTAACATATAAACAGATAATGGTCAAATAAGAGGGGATTTGATACACAAAGGTTTGAAAGTAAACAAAGTTTGAAAGAGCAATTATTAAAGGGCTGATTTTTGAGAAGAAGTCATAATATTTAAGACAAAGAAAGAGAAGGGAAGGGGGCCCTAGGTTTATTTATAATATGGATCACACAATGCAATACCCGGTAATCACTCCTCAAAAGAGGGGCTACACGTGGTATTAGCGCACCGGTCATCATATCCATATCTACCCTTCCGACCCCGTTAAGGTACTAAAGCGCAGATTGGTCTCGACCACTATTGCATGCTATTACCCGTCCCATTCCTATCAGTCCCGGAGGCACTTCGGACTACTAATCCTAAATGGGAGGGATATTAGGTTGACTTTGATGTTTCAAAGGAGAAAAAGCTAAGGCGATATACAAAACATATAGGACGGCACAATAGTAGGGGAAGCACATAAACAATGATGGCTCATATATACCTCCTCAAACAAGGCATTCAAATAGCATGACTCAAACAACAAGCAAGGTCTGAAAATATTAAGGCAAAAGGGGAGTTTAAGTTGTTGAAGCAGACCAATTTATTTCATAACTCAGATAAGAAGTCCGAATTAGGCCTACCTACTAGTTGTAGCAATTATTAATTAATAGAAGCGAATTCAGTTTTATTGTTATTACCTAAGGCTAGCCTAAGTGTTTGGGGTAGAATCCTATGAGCATGGTATCTATTACTGATTCAGAATGTGGCAAAGCAGTAGTAAACTTGAAAATGAGCGGTCTGAAATCCTATAGGCATGCTTGCTAAAACGTGTTAAATAGGGAGATTAAGTTTAAAAAAATTAGTTCGGAATAGACTAATTTTAAATTAGACTAGTTTCAGATTCTGCGGATGATGATATCCATTATTACTGGTCTTTACTCCTAGAGACATGATGTCTAATGTTGCTGATTTTGATTTCTATAGACATGATATCTAGTTGAACGTGAAATGGAAACAGGCATGATTTTTTACTTGGGAATTCCTATAGGCGTGATTTCTATACATTATACTGATTTTAACATTATAAACATGATACTCGTTTATAGCCGTTTAGATCCTACAACATGATGTCTAAGTGGTAACAAGCGTGCAACATTTAAAATAAAGTCCTATGGGCAGGTCATCTAAGTATGAAGTTGGAACATGCAGAATTTTAAATGAACCCCTACAGGCATGGTGTCTAAAATGCACAATTGAACACGCAGGATGTAAAACTGTCCTATAGGCATGCTTTCTAAATGCAGAATTGAATCATTCAAAACACAAATCCTTTAGGCATGTTTTCTACCCCTTTGAGCATACATAATTACCCATCCCTTTCTCACTAGCCAGCCCCAAATGTTTGTTACAAATTATTACAGACCAGTTGTTGAATTACATCAAGAAAATACATAAAAACAGGAAAGTATAACTATAGGAAGCCTGATTCTGACTTCCTCTCTGAGTTATGGAACAAAACGCCTCAAAAGCCACTTGCTTCAAAGCCTTTCTCAGATCTGGGTGTGTCAGAGTTCCCTAAGAGTCTCAAAGGACCCCGAGCAGTACTTACACCCAGATTCATAGAACCAGATAGAGATGAGTGCAGTGTGGAGGGGCTAACCCTTATGTGTCCCAGTTCAGAGGGAGCTCATGGGTCCCAAGGCAAGGCTCACACAAGAGGGGCAGAACCTAAGTCTAAGAGTAGAGTGGAAGTGCAAGAGCAGAAAGTTGTTTAAAACTGGATCAAGAGCAATAGGGGATAAGGGTGGTTTGAAAAACAGTAGTCAAAATTATGCAGTATTTGCAAGTGCACAAAGGGGCAGGGGTGTGGGAATACATTGCAGATGGCATGTGACCCTGAGAAGGATCAAAGTCTGGACATGCACAACAATAAGTGAAGCTGGCATGCCCATAAACTAGCCAAAACACACAGCATATAGAGGTTATGATCCCAGGGAATCAGGTTTGGGTCATGCACAGCAATGTCCAATGTTGTCATGCCCCAAACCAACCAAAGATACCAAACGCACAGGGGATGTAGGGTTTGGGATTCATAAGTGGTTGATAGAGTTCATACATAAGGAAAACATAAAATTCAGAAAAAAGAAAAGGGGGACAGATTATAACATTCTTAGGATTGAAACTCGATTAAACACAAGCAGGGAATAGGCAAGAGTGTAGGAAATAGTAAATAAACATGTTTTTGTTGATGCTGAAGATTAATCAGAACATACCAGTAAAGAAGCAAATGCAGAAAGAAAGTAAGCAAATTTTTCACAGCCTAGCCTTGGCTTTCAGCCGACTAGGTAAGGCAGCAACACAAGTAATAACAGAGCCAAGAGAGAGAGAGAGAGAGAGAGAGAGAGAGAGAGAGNAGGAGAGTCAAAAATCTGACTCGAATGGCCATAGCTGGCCGGAGAAAAGCCAAAGATGACCGGAGAAGGGCCATGAACTAAAATCGAACGAAGGCTGGACCAGAGTTCTTCATAGTCTGGCCTTGAAACCATAAGGACAAACACAAAGGAGCCATGGGAGGCTGGCACAGGTCTCCGATGACCTTGGAAGGCCATGGGTTAGGGCGGATTAGGCTAGGGTTTGAGGGTGTTGTAGAGAGGACTTGGGAGAAGAGGGATTTCAGAGGCTGCATATGGTGAATAATGAGAGGGTTTGGGGGGGGGGGGTCTCTTTTGGGTTTAATTAGGAAAGGAGGAACGGGAGCCGTTGATCTAAGTGATCAACGACTGGGATTAATTTTATAAATATAAACGCAATTAAATCTTAAAAGGGACTAATATTGCAATTATATGCAATTTAGCTTAAAAATACCAAATGAATTTGTAAAAATATGCAAGAAAATTATCTCAGCTATATTTTAGCATAAATATGAGAATCCAATAAATGAATCACCAAAAAATGCTAATTTTGGTAATTATTATTGGTTTTTTATGAATAAAATAGGGAAATAAATTGGTTTTAAAATCTTTAAAAATTAAGAAAAAGGAATATAAGATATTTGGACATGCATAAATATGCACACATGTGTTATTTTGAGAGTATATGCATAAAGAAATATATATAGGGAAAAATTGGGTATCAACAAGGTATTGTATTCCCTGTTGCTATTATTTGGTACTACTTATCCTTTATCTCTCCCTTTTTCTTTTCTCTTCCTTCTTTCTTCCTTTCTTGCTTTCCTCTTCTTCTTCTTGCCCTTCCTGAGCCGAGGATCTATTGGAAACAGCCTCTCTACCTGCATTAGGTAGGGGTAAGGTCTGCGTACAGACTACCCTCCCCAGACCCCACTTGTTGGGATCAAACTGGGTTTGTTGTTGTTGTTGTTGTATGGTCTACTATAGAAGCCTGTGAGGAGATTGGTGGAGCGGTATAAGGAGAGGAAGAAGGACTTGCATATGGTATTCATTGACAGAAGGCAATAAAGTCACGAGGAAGGTTCTATGGAGATGTATGGAGGCTAGCGTGTCCCGATAGCGTACATTAGGGTTATTAAGGACATGTACAAGGGAGCAAAGACTCGGGTGAGGACTGCGAGAGGAGACTCGGATCATTTTCCAGTGGAGATGGGGCTGCACCAGGATCAGCTCTTAGCCCGTTTTTGTTTGCCTTAGCGTTAGATGTGCTGACCCGACACATAGTACTCTAATTGACGATACGCGAGGCGGAGTTAACGCTATGTTGGAAGTTTGGAGACAGACGCTGGAGTTTAAAGGTTTCAAGTTGAGTAGGTCAAAAACTGAGTACTTGGAGTGCAAGTTTAGTGGTGGATTGCATGAAAAAAGGAGTAAAAGTGAAGATTGGTACTCAAGTCATCCCCAAAAGAAATAGTTCCAAGTATCTTGGAGCCATTATTCAAGGTAATATGGAGATTGACGAGGATGTTACTCATCGTATTGGATCAGGATGGATGAAATGGAGGCTCGCCCCATGGTCCATATAAAAATATAGAAGGTTGAAGACCTTATTGAACATTTTCATAAAAGTTGAAGTGTCAACCTTGCATATTTTGAATTAAGAAAACAACCCCAAACTTTGAGCTGCATATCTGTCGGAAGTATGCAATTATTCTAATAATAATTAACCAGAATCATAATCCAATCTACAAGAGTGATATCCTTTGCAAAGAGAGCGCGAGACATGCCAACTTTATTTTGTGATGTTTATACTTCCAAATATCCAATTTACAGAGTTGCAGATTCATACTTTTGTTTTGTAAAAATCGCTGTATGGGATGGCTACATGCTGAACCATTCGACGCAAGGGTGCCACAACTTAATAAAATACAACTAACGGTTAAAATCCCAGACTGGCACAAAAGGACCAAGTTTGCGGTCAAGTTTGCTCTTAAAAGTGGAGTAAATTTCATGGGGTGATCATTCAATTTTGCGTTCATTATCCAAAAGTTACTTTTTTTTTTTTGTTAAGGTAAAAGTTGAATCAACTTTGTGTTACCCAAAAGGCACCTCCTAATCATGCTCTTCTTTCTTTATAGTAAAATAATTTGTGTAACAAAAGAAAAAAAAAGTAACTTTTTGATAATGAATGGACCATCCACGAAATTTACTCCTTAAAATGGGCTCCTCTTTTCAACAGACTATAGAGAGAGGGAAAAAAACCACATGCCTTACACATGAGGGGCTCGGTGTTGGTTTTCCCTGTTAATCTCAGAACTTTAGCATCAAAGATGTTTCACACAAAGAAATTGCTCTTGGAAACAACTAAAAGACATTTCAAGATTTACACAATCTAACATACAAAATGTGAATCAATGATTCACACAGCATCAACTTAGTAAAGAACAACAAGGATGGTCTAAGCCTCATCCCATTCATCATTTTTATATGAAACCAAAGTGTCAACCTTGTGAATCTGCATAGAGAAAACAAAAATCAAATTAGTGTTCCAAAATTTCCAGGCTTCAAAATCAAGCAGCAGATTCCTCCTACCTTGGTGTCAAATGAATGCAGTTTGACCATATGTGGATTTGCAATCAGTTTAGGATCACTCTCAATCCAAGTGAATGGAACTGCAACATCTGTATCAGTGTATGCTAACACATCAAACACACCTATGGCAAACACAATGAAACAAGGATTGTGTTATATCCAGAAAGTTCCAAAGAAACATTGACATTGTATTTCTAAGCACAAATGATGCTTACATGGTTCCTCAAGGCAAGGCAAAAAAGTGACGCTGGAAATAATTTGCCTCATAATTGCTTGAATTTCCCTCATTATTTCTTTGTCACTTTTCTCCCTTGAAACACTGATCCAAATAAAAGTCAATTAGTGAAGTATCCAACATACACTTTCTCCGAAACAACAACTACTTCGTCTTAATTCCAAACTAGTTGGGCTCGACTATATGAATTTTTATTGTCCATTTAAGTTCATATAAGTCCATATATATAAGACAAAATTCAAACCAAAAGAAAAACAAAAAAATTAGAAGTTTTCTACATTTTCTACCTCCAACATACACTTTTACCAGTCCACAAAATTTACCAAAGATCAGAAAATGAAGATCAACTTACCCTTTCTCAACAACCTCGCTGTCGGTTTCGACACTGAAATTCCACCTCTCTAGTACCTCACCAGAGGCCTTGCTCATGATCACAAGAACCATCCTTTGTAGCTTTCCAGCTTCCAACCACTCTACATGAACACAATCATAGAGAAAATAATCACTTCCCTACCCCTAAATACCAATCCACAACTTTGACAAAATTCTACAACTTACCAGAGAGTTGGGCAGTCAAATTAGAGATGAAGGTCTTGACACCTTCATCTTGAGTAAGCAACAACTGCAGACCATATTTCTTCACCTTTGCAAAACTTTCTTCAGGATATACTCCTCTATTGTACAAAATGCTAGAAAAACAACCCCCCGTCCAAAGAAAAGAAGAAAAACAAAATCAACATTCCAACAAAAACCATAAACTAAAAAACACCATAGCAGTGTTAAATCAATTAATCAATCAACAATGCCCAATGAAAAACGAGTTAGGATCCATCATATTAATCGTCTCTATCGATTTTCAATTTCCAAAGCAAGTAAATAGTTTATCTATTAAGTCAGACTAAGGGTTTTCTAAAACTAAGATTATCAAACCCCCATCCCCAAATCAAAACCCCCAAAAAATATCAGCACTCGGGAAAAAGAAGAACACGAAGCATTTTCAATCAATCAACTAATTGGGTTCCGCCATATGAATAATATATTCGATGACTCTATTCAAGCCAATTTTCATTCAAATGCAGGTTGATAATTTATTTTTCAAGGCAAATTAAGGGTTTTCTATAATTAAAATTCATCTAAATACTCGCACTTATATACTAAACTAACAACGTGCAAGTCTCTAATTAACTGAACAAAGACATAGACAAAGATTTGACGAAATGGGGTTTCTTAAATCTTACCTATTTGCTGCATAGCCAAAAAATTCACCGACAATTGCTGCTGATCCGCGAATCGTGATTATGTCCTTGGTGGCTGTTCTTGATGCCATTATTCAAAATCTGAAGAAAAAAGGTTAAGATTCTCAGAAGTTGGGTTGAATTTACAGATTCTTGGTGACTTGTGAGAGTAATGGATTTAGGGTTTTATTGAAAATTGAAAAGTACAAGGGACCAACGGCTAGTTCTTTGAAATTGACGCATAAGACGGTCCAAGAGCTCTTTAATGTTTTTTCTTTTTTTCCTTTTATAATTTTCCACTGTACACTAACCGTTACAAAAAAGGAGTGGAGAAATCATTGGGCCAATTAGTTGGGCTATCGCAAAATTAGGCCCAATAAGATCCACTTGTAACTTGGCCTATATATATGCAGTCCGACTTATAATTTTGAGAATGATGTAACATCTTTTCTATTTTATTTTTTTGAGGAATTTTCATAAAACACTATCGTTTAGAGCCTAGTAACTATATTTTGCCTAATTACTATTCGTAGCTACTGTTCAATTATTACTAGCTTATATCATTTGTATTCAAACGCGCAACGAATACAACACGTGTCAACTGTATTCATTTGCGTAACGAATACAACCTGTATCAACTGCATTCATTCATGCAATTGTATTCATTGCGCATGAATACAACATGTATCAACTGTAACCAAGGCGAAATACAAGGGTGTATACAAATGATACAACTTGTATCGACTGTATACATGAGTGTATACAAACTGTATTCCTTCGAACACAACTAAGGCGAAATACAAAAATACAGAAAAATAAATGCTCTTGTTAATAGTCGAACTCAAGACACCTCCATAGGTGGATGTAAAAACTTGTATATAAAAATTTATTAAAATTGCAAAAATAGTAGATATGAACCCATAACCATAAAAATACAATGGGTTCAATGTTAAAAACCTTAAAATTGATCCATAGGATTTAAATCCTGGATCCGCCTCTGGACACCTCCCCTAACTAAGCGCGCCCTCTAACCAACTAAGTTACGAGAGCTTGTTGCTCCCTTGTTTCAGTTCAAAACAATTAATCTCTTGTTTTATAGATTTGCTATAAAATTCGAATATAGCTACGAATGATAATTTGCTGATAGTGTAGCTACAAATGATAAATACAATGTAAATATTCGATGAGTCGCGTAATTTTTTTTTGGGTGGGGTTTGGTGGTGGGTTGGGAGGAGGATGAGCAAGGAAGTAAAATGTTATCAAATTTCATTGTGACACTGGTTAGGATAAGGGGAAAAACACCACTTTGTCTGACCGTTCAAAATGTTAAATATTTTTTCTCTTTTTGAAGAAAAGAGGATCTCGAATTTCCCTTTATCAAAAGCGCACGGTCTTACCGAATTGTCTTTGAATTTTCATATGCACAATGTGGCCTTGCTGATTACATATATGCTCTTCTCAAGATTACCAACTATGAATAAAAATTAGACTACTTACCACTAGATTACAAAGGGGATTAGTAGAAAATCACCTAATATAATGGTATTAAGTGCTCACGAGATGGATTTGTTTATTTATGAAAACTGTATATTTTGTCTCTTAGGGTCATGAGGTGAGGTGTACCATATATTTATCAATGCTCAATAAGTAGAGTAAAAGAGTAGTAGCTCATGTGACAGTAAAATTTGGTGTTGTCCTAAAAAGGACAATGGCAGAAAAAAGAGGCCAGACCTAGGTGGTCCTTTAAAAAATTGAAATCTGCCATAAAATGAAATTGTCAAGGAGGAGATACATTTCTTTTTTGGGTCAGTCAATTTGTACCAATTATCTCCTCCTTTGAAATATAAGAAAATAATGTCGACACAATGTGTTCATTTATTTCCTTAACATTCTTGGTGAATTTTCTAGAATATGCTGCTAAGAATTTAATTTAGATATTGACAACACAAAGAATTTAAGCCAAAATCAAAACCAAATCGACTGCTAGTGTATTTATTTATTCTAGTTGATAGTTTGCCCTTTTGTTTAAGTTACTAATCTTATTGTTATGGACTGTTACTTATAACTATCTATTATATTAGGTGATTTAATATATTGTTAGAAAAAAAATATCGCCAGTGACACAGAAATTAAACTATATATAAACCATTTGGAGTAGGTCGTATAAATGTAACTTTTGGTATGAATTGAGATATTTCTAGAACCCAATTCCAAGCACCTACCCATTGATAAGCCACCTATAAAGAAAGAAAATGAAGAAGATTCAAAATGGCGGCATTGGGTTGGGTTAGATGAATGGAAACTATTGGAAAAAGTTGTTGATGAGTTGGCCGGTAGTTTAGGAATATAATTTAGTATGACTCCTAGTGTCAATTTTCTCTCGATTTTGACAACATGAGTCATCGCCTAAGTGGCTTTGAGATTATCCTCTAGCTAACATCATTTGTGCCTGGGGTGTACAAATCGAATCGAAAAATCGCATAAAAGTGAAAAGTCAAATCAAATCGATGAAAAAACCCGACTGGATTTGGTTAGATTTGTTTGGTATTGAGTAAAAAAATCCGAACCAAACCGACATATAAATATATAATTTTTATATATACTTTTAATACCTTTTATAGAATTTTCTTTTAAAAATATCTAGAAATATTTGCGATTCTTTTATGGGATGTAATATTTAGTTAAATATGAAATGTTCCATTTTTATTAACTTTAAATAATGGGTTGTATGATCACTTTCTTATCAAGTGTTACTGAAATGCGTTAATCTCTTTGTTCTTTCTATTCATATGTCAAGATTGATTGAATTCCTATATCTTTTTCGAAATTGAAGTGTTATTTCGACAATTTAAAATTAAATAGGACATATCATGATTTAGGTATCATATTGATTTTTATGTTTAATTATTAAATTTTAACCTTAAAGTGTACGAAAAATTATTGTCAGATGACTAAAAAGATAGTATCATATTTAACTAAGAAAATTCTTCCATAAGAATATTTTAATATATCATATGTTTGTCATTTTTTAATTTTTACTAAACATATGTTTACTGATAAAGAAAAGAAATTAACAACGTAAGATTGAGATAATATTTATGTAACAAAAACCCCAATAAATCCGGAACATCCGACAAAACTAACTAATCCAAACCGGTATAATTGATTTGGTTTAGTGTGATTTTGATAAAAATCGAACCAACTCGGTCCATATACACCCCTAATTTGTGTCTTGACTAGCAAAACCTTTTCTAGGCAAGAATAAACCTTACTCTTTATCAAGCTTGCAGCATAGAATTCGTATGGAAGAAATAATTAAGTAATAATAAGTATGTTCAGTCAAGACACTTTAAACTTTTAGATTAATTGGTCACCTTTTTTAGCGTGGTACTAGAGCTAAGTTTAAGTCTCATCGCCATCAATTTCAAAAAGAATTTTAACATGCTTGGCTTAAAAAAAAAAAAAAAAAAAAAACTAGATTGCATGTGAATGTGCACGTCGAGGACATAATTTAGTAATTATATATAAGTAAATGCTTGTTAATGTTTTGAATTTTTAATTGATATAGTTATACAAAATCAACAAATTGAGAGTTGTACATCTAACAAAAATGTAGTTAGGCAATAGTTCCATTTCGATGAGGAAAAAATTCAAGTGAATCCCTTGGAAAAAATAAAATTCAAACAAATACTTCCCTAAGAGAGTAGTCCATTAGAATAACCCCATTTTGTCCAAAAAGTTAAAGGAGATGCTGACCTTTTGCAAGTGGGAAGCATGCTAAAGAACTACTACTTTATATTAAACTTTGTCTCCTTCAAATTAAAAGACTCTTAGTTTAAATCCAAATCAAGCTCCAGGTTTTCAATTATATAACCTTCTTGTCTCATTATTAGCAAATGGTTCTCCATCATAGTTATCTATAGTTGGTGCAGTGGTTGTTATAATAATATAGATATACAATACTGAAAACAATGCAGTATTCAGGGATACTGGTATCCTATTCAACTTTACACAATTTTTATATATATATATATATATATATATATATATATATATATATATATATATATATATATATATGTGCGCGCGTGTGTGTGTAAAGCTTTTAGTGATGAATAACTTTCATGAACAGAAAAGTGCCAAATTTTAGGGTACCATGATATCGATCTTATCATGGATATTTAACTGAAAAGCGAATATTATAAGCTTTTTTCATATCACCTTTAGGGACAATATTAATTATTAAGCCAATGTCATATCACCTAGCTTATTCCATACAGGGACGAAGCCAGATTGTTCTAAGGGCGGTCAATTGACTGTCGTTCGTCGAAAAATTACACTAATATATACTGAACTCCCTTTGTTAAAATTCTTTTCTGCTTTTTTAAGTTTGAACACCTTTAAAGAAAGTCCTGACTCCACCATTAATTTCATATACAAAAAACATATTATGATCTATTGCGACAGAACAAAAAACAAACCTGCCAAAATTTGCACTCACATGAAGGCCATGGAAACAAAGAACACCTTACCCCCTCCACCCCCCTCCACCCAAACCCCTTTAAAAAGAAAGAGAAAAAAAAAACTGAATTGTTCCTTGAACTCTAGAGAAAAGATATAATAGTATGAATAAGTAGTATTCGAGGATGTAATTTAGCGGTTAATGAAATAAAATCAAAGTCATGAAGATCTGTCCATCTATCTAACTTGGTGAATATAAAATTATTCGATACTTATATTAATAAAAGGCAAAACACATTAATAAAATAATTAAAATACATGTAAGCTCGCAAAGACACCATCCGTATAAAATAATGATTATAGTAAGAAGAAAGAAAAGGATAAAGGTAAGTGAGGAGGATAAGGCTTGTGTATCATAACTATAGGGCAACTTTAGTTTGTGGTGTACAACTTTATTCACTCATTGCATGTGTAATGGAAAAAGAAAAGAAAAGGCAAGAGCACGAGACAAACATATATCAACTGTGTTTTTCTTTTACAGCCCACACGCCCTCATTTACCCACCACGTGCTTCTTCTGCTTTATTAGAGCCAAAGCCTCGGTCCCTCTAGTTTGACACAAGCCTACCTCTCTCCATGATATTGGGGTTTGTTCACTTAAATTCTAATATCGTACCTAGTATTTTCCTTTTCTTGTACGATGGGGGTTGAGGATCAGGAGAGTAGACTCGTGTTTGTAGATATTATTTTAGTTATATGATTTCTTTGTTTTCCTTTTCGTGTCGATGGGGGTTGAGGAAGGGAGA